GCGCTCCACCCCGGCTGAGTCGACTGGCACGGTTGTTGTGAATCACACGTCGAGCTGTCGTCAAAGGGACTCCATTGTGAGCGGCCACTGTTTTCCAATCTTTTCGGTCATGGAATGCTGCCAAGACACGAGATTTCTCGTTATTGTTGGCATCTTTTGGTTATGTATGGGTAATTGTGTTGCGTGAGTTTGGCGCGCCCGCCATAAGCAAACCTTTGTCAAAACATGTTTCGATCGAATTTCAATTTGCAGGTTGGCCACATTGATTGCAGATTAAACGACATTGATTGAAATAGATTCCAGATGTACTTTGACGTTCGAAGATACTAGTATTGTAACTTCGGAACCACATTGATTGCTGGTTTGGCCACGTTGAACGGGCTGTTGTTTAGTGTTCGTACCGGAAATAATTCTAATCGTGAGGTGTTCATGGTACTACTAGTATTACTATTCTCGATGTGCTGCATAACGCTATTTAAAGTACAACGTAAAACTGTTGCGTTGATCAAACACTTTTTAGCGGGGTCACGCGACGTCTGTGTCCTTGTGAGCTTATGTAAAGCAACTACGTCACGGTGTGAGAGCAGCATCGGCCGCGCCCGATGCGTCTGTATGTCTTCTTATTGGGTAACTCCGTCGAAGCCACCGAAAGCCAAGTGTGACTAACATGCTCTCTCGCGTTGGTCACTCCAGCTGTCGACACGTTCACCCACGTTAAATTCGAAAAATTCACACTATTTTCAGGAACGAGAACCAGGTGAGCGACTAAAGCGCTTCCAGAGCGTGCATTGAGCATCCAACCACCGATACACATACTCGTCATGCGATCAACTTCGATGGCCACGGTCGCGGCAGGTTCGTCCACACGGTCCTCATCTCCCATGAACCTCGCACCAAATGCTTATTTCACATAGTCATGCTTGCGGCCGCGAGCATCGTGGCAAAGACAGCCAAGGAAATCTGTGCATCACCTACGTGCATTCGCGGTGGATTAGAAACCATCTCGATGGAGAAGGCGCTCCTCTTGGCCCCTTGCGTTGGAGAAGACTTGAAGTGCTTTAATTACAAGGAAAAAGAAACATGCCCTTTCGACACCACGGTTGACTGCAGTAAGATTGTACAGCAAACCACAACAGCCCCAATCACCATGGCTCCCACATCTCCTGCACCAACTACCACTGCATTGACAGCGACCCCCAAGGCTACCGAGTCTGAAAGCAGTGGAAACTACTACCCGTACATCATCGGAGGCGGTGCCGTTGCGTTGATCGCGATTGGCGCCCTTGTGTTTGTTTTGGTGCGCAAGTCGGACCGTAGAAACAACCAAGATGACGACGACGTCGAAGCTGCAGAGTACGGAAAAGCAATTGCCTCTCAGGCCAAGGAAGAACCTCCCACATCGTCGTATGGGTACTACCAGTCAGGCAACAAATCTTTTGGCGAAGTACCCTTGCATCACACCAAGGCAACTGTGAACCAAGACCTGCGTCGGCAAAACACAGGGTCATTCGTGACCCCAGCACAACCCATTGCGCGCCCCAATACGGCTTCTTTCCTGCAGAACAACTCGCACTCGGTCATCACCTCCGCCCCCCAGCCGCCAGTTGAAACAAAGGAACAGTTTTACGTCCCCGACACTCCTCTCGAGTATCACCATGGTGCAGCGGGTCCCGGGCCCGAGCCGAATCGAAGGGAATCCTTCGAGTTCTAATCGACCTACGAGAAGTACAGTTGTGGTAGGATGCTGGTTGTATAGCTAACCAGCGCAAATGTTACTTGTCATGCCCGTCGCGTCGAGCGTCCGCCGCTGGCGGCAACATGCTACGCTCGATGCGCATCCGGATGACGATCCGGTTGAATGCATTTGATCGTGGCAGTTCCAATACGCCAGTGCGTTGAGGACCACCGCGGACATGTTTGTACATTTGCACTCGTCACCGTTGGTGGTGCGTCAGTCCAGCTCGTCGTTGGGAAACTCAGTCAATGCCAATTGTCAATATGGCTCGAACAACGACTTCCAGCCCATTGAAATCCTGGATGTGAAGGAAGAACGACGCTTATTGCTGCAATGCTTGCAGGAATGCGGGAAGCAAATCCAGTGGCGAAGCGAAGTTGCAGACGTTCACACGTTTCGCAAGGTATGGTTACATCACTCCGATTCAAGTGGGTGAGTTTATCGCGACAGGTCGTTTCCCACGGGTGCCGAGCCCTTCACTTTTCAGGGCACGGAGTGCCAGGCAAGGTAATCTTTGAAAGTGCTACCTGTGAAGCACACTTCTTGTCCCAAGACGAACTGAAAACTCTTCTCTTGGCTGGCGATCAATCGCGTCCCGAAAACGCCATGCGCCTTGTGTTCGTCAGCGCTTGCCACTCGGAGAGTGTCGCTGAAGCTTTTGTCTCCGCTGGTGTGCCCCACGTGGTCGTGGTACCCAAGGAAGACAAAGTGTTGGATCAAAAGGCCATGGAATTTTCCAAAGCGTTTTACACGGCACTTTTGGCGGGGCACAGTGTGTCGAAGTCGTTCGAAATCGGGTACGGAGCCACTCCACGCGTTCTGCTCACAAGCGACGCTCTCACAGCCAAGTACAAGCCGATATTGTCACCGTCTCCGACACCCACCAGTCGAGATTTAAGCTACTGGGCACGGGCAACCACGCGACAAGTCACTTGTTCTCAGACCTTCCGCCTGGCATGTACGAAGATCTAACGCCACCCCTGCCCATCAACGAATGCGACGCCGTCGCGGAAGCGTTCATCGGCCGGTCGTTGGAAGTGCATGCTGTGTTCACGGCGCTTGCCGAAGGAGCGCGAATGGTGTGTCTTGTGGGGGACGCAGGCATGGGCAAGACAGAAATCGCATTGCAAGCGTGCCAATATGCGACGGAGAGGCATCTCTTTGAACGAATCTTCTTCTTGCGTTGGACGACCAGTGCGACGTCTCTGACGAGCTACGTGCTCGCTCGACTGGCTAAGTGTGTTGGCATTTCACAGCCACCAACGAATGACTTGGACGGACTCTGCGAGCTCCTTCGAGGCAAGTTGGACGCCATCCGACCCGACAAGCGCCTCAATTTTCTCTTGGTGTTGGATGGATGCAACCATCTATTTTCAAAACCAAACGAGCGAAATCAACTGCCTCAGTTCCAGGCTATCCTTTCCCAGGTAGATTCTCATAGGCTTGTGTATTGGTTCATAGTGGATATGACGGGGTTGGTTCAGCTGCTGCGGAGGGTTCGATCGCTGTCTCTGCTCCTTACAAGTACAAACCGTCTTGGCGGCGGAACCGGACTTGACTGCGGCGTCGGAGAACGTATCATTTCGATTGAGCCCATGCCCCCATGGGACGCTGCGCTACTATTTACAGTTCGCGCACCTCGGCGACTTCAAGTCCATGAAATGGGCGGTGGACTTGCGCCGTTTGCCAAAAGCAGCATCATGGAAGCCCTTGGCGGCCACGCCAGAACTATCTGTGCAGTAATTTCACTCGGCCAAGAAAAAATGCATGCTCATCCGTCCGTAGGTTGCCCAGCTACTCGAGAACCATGACTTGGCCAGAGACGAAGGCGAGTTCTTGCACTATTTAATTCCCGCCATCATCGCGGGACTCGACCCGGCGTCGAAACAGCACTTTTCCAATGACTATTGCCCTCTATTGCCGTACACAGCGTCGTCGAAAAAGGCCCCCACTCGTCCTCCTGGCGCTAGCCAAACCCACGACGACCTCCATCACTTGTCTAACCTGCACATTGAAAGCAAGTTATCCCCAACTCCCCTGCACCCACCGTCGCTGCATGCATCCATATCTGTCGCATCCCAAATGTCATCCTCGCCGTTATCGTCGTCGACCAGTGGAGGTCTGTCGCCCCAGCAGCTGCAGCTCTTTGCCATTAAGCGTCGCGTGGAAGGCTCGATTGCCTCTCCTGAGGGTTGCATGATTTGGTCCCACGCAGTCGTTGAATTCAACAAGTCGACACAAAACTCGTCGGCGTTCGATCTGCGCCACGTCCGTGAGGTTGCGGCAATCAACGCGGTTCCATTCGAGTATCTTGGACAGCAAGTCAGTCGCTTCTTCGCTTCCCAGCTACGCCAAGAGGCCGTCCTTCGGCCGCTGTCTACTCGTTGCATGGACTTCCTGAGCTCGAGCGATCGAATCTGGGGTGGGTGCATGGGTCTTCTGTGTCAGGTTCACGACATTATTGGCGTAGGTCGACCTGGCATGAGCCCAAATGCTCGGGGTGGCTTTGTCGATGTCCAAATGTTTCGTGCGTTTTGGACATGGTTCGAGCCACTCTTATCCTGCATCAAGACGTCACGGTTGTGGGGATTCAAGCACCCACGCCTGCTCCACGGGTTCATTTCGAAATCTTCGTGCCAGAACATGCTCCGCCCGTGCGTGCCAGGCACGTTCCTCCTTCGTTTTTCAGAGACGAAACCTTCGTGCCTTGTCGTGGTATTTGTCACGGCCGCCGGCCGCGTCGAAATGGTTCCGATCGAGTACAAGCATTCATCGCCACGGCAATTCGAAGTGTATTTGCACGACAGCATGTCGATTGTGTCGTTCCCGACCTTGCACGAGCTCGTGCTCAACGTCCACGTTCTCAAGTACATCTACCCACATACCCCCAAGCACGACGTGTTTCAAGTCCCCCACGACGGCGCACCTCGCAGCAGTTAATCGATTCTATCTCGAGTGCATCTACAACTCAAATGCTGCGTCGCGGACGCATCGGAACCCGACCGTGGCCGATCGATCATAGCTCGGAGACAAGAGAAGCCACTTGCCATGCTCTTGGACCGACTTGACATGGGGAAAGTACCAGTTTGGGTCGTTCAGACTGGACGCGACGGGCTGGTACCGACTACCCCCGCGCAGGAGTAGGCTGCACGTTCGGGAGTCGCAGAATGTGTCGGTCATCTCCCACACGAGTCCCTCGAGGTCGCACACTCCAGCATCCGTGCACCCGACGGGAAATGTCCCGACAGCAACTTGGGCATCGTCGCCGTCGCGAAGAACAGGCGGCACCCGAGATGGATCATAAGTGTGGCCCCAGGGATGCAACGTCGACTGGTTTGACGGGCCATTCGACGCCACATACTGCCACTCCCAGTCGTGGGGGAGACGGAGGCCGTAAAACACAGCAAACGCTCGCGCATCCTCGACAGAAACATGCACGACAGGATGGTCCGCTGTCTCAGGGGGATACACCCACGTCGACACAGGCTCGTAGAGGAGGGAGCGCCCCACGTAGCGGTGGTGCCACGTCGCAAGGAACTGCGACAAATCGGGTGGGGTGTAGTTGGATTGCTGGAGAAACGTGTGGTACTGAGCATTCGTCACGGGATACTTCATCATGAGGAACGGATCGACCCACAGCTCTTGCGAATGATGCGGCGATGGCCGGCTTTCCCAGGGAAACTGCACCCCCACTCCATATAGGACGTCGCCGTTTGGTGTCCATGCCGGCACTGGCTCAATTTGGACGCCATGTACAGTGAAATTCCACGCTTCGGTCCCTGGAATTGACACCTACCATGAACAAGATTGAGTCGTCGAGCAGTAATTGGAATAATCATCACGACGTACGAGCGTGAAATCGGGGGGGTGGTCGGCACCGGTAGATAGCTCGACGTCGCTTGCGGTCATGATGGTGGTCGTCGTGGTTTGCAAAGAAGTCATGGCTTGAGGCAGCAGCAGTCGATCCGTGTTATATGCTGCAAGGGGCAAGGCCGTCATGTTTCGCATCTTGGCCAAAAATGCAGGTAACCAGCTATCCAACTCTGCGGCTTCGCTGCGGTCCACCACCAAGAGTGCTCCGTAGCCGTAGCCTTCGAGAGTCAGCGGCACAGTTAGTCGGTGTTGGGCGCTTGCCGTCGAGTTGACTTGATGTCCATGGTACAGATCAAACACGACAGCGTCGGTCACCCTAGGTACGTCAAGAGCCACGACTCCGACGAAATCGCTTGGCGACGTGTGGATAAACGTGAAGAGGACCGAAGGGGCGGATGGGGTCGGGAACGCGCTGCCATGAACATTCGTGGGGAGGTCGGGCACGTAAGGTTGCCAATCGGCCGAATGTACAGCGTCAGGGAAAGTGCGCAAGATGGCGGACGTCCGCTTGAGCTCTTGCCACTCTCGGTCTGTCATGGGGTTCCAAATTCCCCAAATGTTTTCCCACACGACGTACCCAGCCCCGTTGAAAAACGCCATTTGGAGCTCCACTGTGCGGCTCAAGGACCATCGGGCGCACACTAGGGGCGTGTGCCGTGACTCCAAAAACTTGGACCGTGCCACAGGTGGGAACTGCGAGAAACCAAAGTAATATCCCCAGCTCATGGCATTCACGGCGAGCGTGTGAGAAGGAAGTCCGCCCTCTGGACAGATCGCGGTTGGCGACGAGCAGTTGTAGAAGGACGCAGGAACGCCATACATGGTGTCGCCGTTGATTCCGTCGGCACCGATGGCGTCAACGATGGTGTGGAGCGCTGCAATGTCGGAGCGATAGCGTGGAAGTGTCTGGTCGTCATTGCGAGTGGCCGTATCCCAGGGTTGGTACGGCAGGAACACAGTCACGTTATGGGCGTGGAATTCATCGACGAGAGAGCGCAGTCCGTCGAGTCCTCCTGGTAGGATCGACCAAAAGTCGAATTGATTGCGCGCATCGATCCCGAGATTCGGATACGATGGCCACAGGAGCACACTGTCAATGGGCAACCCGAGCGTCGTAAGGAAATTGTCGACGGTGTAAACATTTCTTGTTCGGTCGAAGAGCGTTCGGTCATGCAACATAGCAAACACTTGCACGAAACTGCGCTGTGTCCATTGCAGCAACGGAACGTTGTAGACGTTGCAGGCGCCGTTGGGGTCGTACCGAACGGACTGGAGCTCCTTCCGCTTCCACGTACTCCATTCGGCACGCCATGCATCGATCGATTCACGGTCTCTTAATGCAGGACCATCAATCAGCTCGTATCCGTCCGGCATGGGCTCCCAGCCAAGCACCGCTGCCGCCAGTGCGGCCACCACCACCGCGAACGTACCCATCTTGAAAGCCCAAAATGCCGACTAAGATCCTATGTGTCAAATCCACTCCAGCATCAGTTTAATCACCATCGAAACTTAGGTCGATTGTTAAACGCAGTTGGGAATTGCAAAGCATGTATAACGTTACTGGTATCAGCAGAGCACTCGGCAACGCAACCAAAGACTACGCGGCCCTGTGCGCTCCAAGTGACAACGTAGGTGGACTGTGCTCCATGAGCCGCACTGCCTTTGACCTAGCCATGTTCAGGCCTAGAAAACCCAGCAGACCCTACCCGTTGGTTTTTAATTCTGTTTAAACACGAACGCGTAAGAATTCGATTCGCGAACACTTGCACAGCACATCGAGGCAGTGGCGACGATAGCAAATCTACAACTCGACCGACGACACACGGGCGCGACCGTTGCGCTTGGGAGAGATCTGCAAGTCTTCCGACAAACTGCTGTCGCGCGAGTCAATCGAGTCCTTGAACTCGAACACAGTGTGCTGTCCGGACGGGTCGTTGAGGAACGACTGGGAGGCGAACTCTGACTCACGGTCCGTGTCGTATCCTCCAGTGGGGATGGCCGCCAAGGCTGCAGAGTGCTGACCTTCGTATTCAAACTCCGAGTCATGGTGGGTGGACGTTGTGTTCAGGTAGGACCCGACGGCAGGCGCAGCGTTGGTCGGTTGCAGCGATCGTTGCTGCTGGTACAACGGAGCAGCATTATTGTTTGTGTAGGGGTTGTACTGCTGGGTCAAAATTTGCGGTGCCTTGGCAGGAGGGGCGTTGGCGTTCAGGATGGCAACGGCGGGCGCAGGTTTTGTGTAGGCGGGGGCAGTAACCTTGTACGTGTGGGCTTCTTCGTAGTCATCGTCGTCATCGTCGCGAGCTTGCTTCAGTCTGAGAAGCAAGAAGACAATTCCGGCCAAAAGGACAGCGCCACCTACACCCAACCCAATGTACAGGCCGATGCTGCTGCCTTCGTCGGCAGCTGGTGCCATGGTGGTCGTTCGTAGAGTTGTGATAGGGGCAGCAGTCGCAGAAGTCTCTTCGATCGCGGCATTGGTGGTTGTGGGTTTCGCTGTGGTGGTTTTACGAGTGGTAGTTGGTCCAGTCGTTGTCGTCGTCACCGGCGCCGCCGTTTCCGTTGGCGTCGGCGCCGGCGATTCCGTTTCCGTCACTGTGGGCGTGGGCTCAACAGTCGTCTTGGCTGCCGTGGTCGTGGGGGAGACAGTCGTCGGCTTTAATGTCGGCACCTTTGTCGTGGTAGGTTCAACGGTAATGGGGCCAAACGTGATCGGAGGGCGAGTTGGCCTGGAAGTCGTAGTTGGTGCAATAGTGTCATCACCCTGGGCAGCGACGCCAGACACTACAGCACAGGCAACGTTGGTGACATGAGGTAGCGTTGACCTAGGAGGACGCTTGTACCAAGGAGGAAGGATACACAGAAGACCTTCACGAGATGGGAGTGCTTCACCATGCTATCTGCCGGAAGTTCCTGGTAGAATTTGCTTTGTTTGACCGCGGCGCCATGAGGTGTCCAATATGTGTAACAAACACCCGCATCTTTTCCTGAACCGTGTCTTACAACTCAAATTGTATTTTATCATTTGAGATTTATAAAGAATATATATTAAATGCTGACCAATGGTATCGATGCGTTGGACGACCATACAAACATCAAGATGTTTTCGTCCGTCTAAGCACGAATTAACAACGTCGGCACCTGGTCCGGTGAGATGGGCTGGTCGGAAGCGACAATCATGGAATGAGCGCGTGCTTCTCAATGATGGAGCATTCCCCCTTGGACATGCAAACATACATTGCAACCCGCTATCGCGCACAACGCGAACTCGTATATATGTTGTGCGAGACGGTCAGATGTTGGTTGTTGTGGGTGTCGCATTGAGGGAAACTGCTGTCTCGATCTCGTCGGATCAGTCCAATGACGTTCTTGGATCTTCCACACAACCTATACATGACAGTCGGGTTGTAGGACGTCTCCTGTGGACGAGCGTGGAAAGTGCTTTGGTTCATGTGCAGGGATATAGGCGATAACTAATTAGTAAGTGCTATGCGTGGTTTCGAGGGTGAGCTGTACCCTTTGCAATAACACTAGGTTGATTATTCGAGTGGACCCCTCGCGAGCGTATGGCCCGACCCAAAACGTCAGCATTTCGAAGACGGCAGTTGATTGGCTTGTAATTGGTGTAGGCACTCTACTGACACATTTGAGACATTGTGCGCGCGCGCTATACAAGTGATTCGAGGAATGGACACCCTAATGGCATCGCAGAACTCTCAGCGTGGCCAACACGATGGTGCCATGCGCCATGCATCACCCTTCCTGCTCTTTAGCCTTATCATCATCCGATCAGATCCATTCATCAATTTACGCCCATTGACAGCAAAATACATAATGTTGCTCGCAATTTTAACCTGTTTTTTCCAGAACAATTTTTTATCAATTTAGGCACCACAACATCAATATAAATCAAATACTTCGAAGTACCACAACATCAATATAAATCAAATACGTCGAAGTACTTCAAAAGTAGTCTTGAATTTTGCTATTTCTTAATGTAGTGAAATTGTCAATTTTTACCTCATTATTATTGATTCAACTTATGTAGACGAATTTACATTCGGAAAGACAAATGCACGATCAATGAAAATAACAATGCGTTGGTGTGATGGTACCCGCAAGGAGGTAAGAAAGAGGAGGGCGCTGGATGCCTGGGCCGGAATCATTACGGCGCCTCCCGCTGGCCTTCTTCGTGCGCCCTTTGGGAGTTTATCTTTTCAATTTCATCCCATAGGTCACCGTGTCCGCCAAACGAAAGTTGGTTATCTTGCATGGGTGAAGGCAGAGCGTGGATTTCAAAGTCTATCGACGTTCGCGTGGCTTGCCGGGATTCACGGGAGACAGGGACTGGTTGGGTCTGTGTCTCAGCTGCCTTGATTCGAACTGGCGTCGGCTTAAAGATCGAATTGTCGTTGGCGGATGGCAGGGGATGTGTTGCAGGTTTCGTACTGGGTTGAGGTATGTACTCGTTTGGCACGGACGTGTCAAAGTCATGACTCCGAGACTTGTACTTGTTCGCAGCAAACGCAACCAAACAAATTAAGGCAACTCCCCCGACGGCAAACGCGATAGGTGTTGATGAGGACGACGAAGAAGAATCCGTTTGGATTTCTACAACCAATTCGGCTGTAGTTGGCGCAGGGGCCACAGTTGTTGTTGAAACGGCATTGGCAGTAGTTGTGGGTACAATGGTAGTTGGAATGACGGACTTGTTCTGTGGTTGCGCAGTCGTTGTGGAAGGCTTCGGGGCTTTTGTGGTTGAGGCGACGGGTAGGGAAAACGTAGTCGTAGTCGACGGCGCAGGCAGATCAGAACTTCCTGAGCACAATTCATAACCTGTCGCGCACACTCCACCAAAAGACGGAATGCATCGTCGGTATACGCTTCCCACGGGAAACGATTGGGACAGACATCCCGGACAGTGCCCCTCCACGGTTTGGCATATTGTCCCGTCCTGTTGCTTGCATTGCAGTGTGGTTTCGCAGTTGCTTGCTTGGATAGAGGATGCAACAAAGACTATCGCAGAAAGTGAAGTGTTGCTCATGGACGGAATAGAGGGACTTACTCGAAGCAGTCGCGATGCTGACGAGAAGAGCTCGCATGCTCCTTCGGTCGAAAGGAGGAGGCTACGTGCTGAACTGACACTTTCACACTGGGGATGGCGACTTCGCACAAGTTGGGTTTAACCTGCATTTAAACGTGTTTGCCACCCTGCAAATCCACAAAGGAGCGTTTAATCACAACTACATGATCTCAATAAAACGAAAATCTCCCCTTTTACCTGGAAGTTACTATGACAAAAGAATATATCAAGCAATTTGAGTTTGCCTGCATGTGTCCATGTTGCACATGATGTGCTTAATCTTGCAATCAGCTTGTGAGCGAGTATGGTAGAATATCCACATATTTCGGACGGACATGCGACACGCACTTGAATTTGATATTTGAAAATTGTAAGGGCAAGAGCGATATGTCTGCCTTTCAGCAGCGAGTGATGACAGATAATTCGTTCAGGAAAATGCGCACAGGAGCGAAGCGGACGTCGTGAGTATAATTTCCTTCAGCCGGTGCCTTGACACAGGAGTGAGTCCCAATCCTGCGTGTTCACCGAACGTCCAATCTTTTCCTCTCGTAGGGAAGAGTGGCAGGTAGGCCTTCTGGCCGTGAAGAGACATACTCCGTACCACAAAGAATGAGCGAATCAGGAGAATGGCGTACTCCTAGATAAAAATGCAATTACTCCAAGACTATTTTCTGGTTTGAGCATTAAAGAGTGTAACGATGCAGCTGTCCAATCAAGTTGAACAAATACTTGTCTCAGAACCAATCAAATGTCGGAAAAATGAAATCGACAGTGGCGATTCAAAGGGGGGATTACCTCGCCTACTGAGCCTAACAACTTCATGTTCTTAACAGTGTTGTCAGAGATTGACCGAAGTGTCGTTCAAGCGGTACCTGCAGCATCTTTACGTTTTTACTCGGATGTGAAGGCCATTTTCCTGACAACATTGCCTTTCCTTTTGTTGGTTGGTTACACACACCTTCATGTTGCCATGAGACTTTGGCCTTGGTCAGTGCAAGAATTTTGCGTATAGTAGATACATTGCATTGGTACATTGAGGCCAATATCTAAATCGTCCCAATAGGCAGTCGAGCAGGGAACCCGTTAGATTTTCTCATCAGCACCTCCAGAAGGATGGCTTCGCGTCCCTCGTTCGTCAGGTCGCGCCTTCAGGTGCCATTTTTGAATGTGTGTCATTGAAGTTGTAAGTTTTATATAGAACACTGTATTCAATCTTTGACGCGGCAAACCTGGGCTTTTGAGATTCTTC